GGGCCATACAGAGCCTGAGGGACTGGTGGATGGGATACAGACTAAGAGCAATCCCATTTAGCCACCTTTAGATCTGTGTGCTGGGAGCTGGCTCACATTTTTTTTTTTGTAGGACCTTATGATTCCCCTCTCTGAGTACTGCCATTAGGAAGACAAAACTATTTTAATTTTTTTCACCTAGCAATTTAGACTAAAGTTTGTACATTTGGCAAACATCTTCCAGGGCTGTGTAACCACTCTGCTCTAGCAAAGAATGGATTGACGTGAACAGTATTATCTGGGAAGCCAGCTTCTGTTTCACCTTACCTCAGACATCACAGTGCTTCTTGTTTTTCATACTTTCTTCACCAGGTTTACTTATGCAAGTAACTTCCTTATCAGAGTGTAATATTGTGAATCCAGAGTATACCGAGCTGTAAAAATTAAACCGAGTTTCCTCATTTGAGATTGCTAAACTTCCTCCTCTGGACTTTCCAGAGATGCACTACTAGGGGAAGAGTCAGAATGAGTAAACAGGCAGAGGCATTACTGAATATCCTTAGAGAAGGGCGCATTGAATCATGAGCAGCTAGTCCAGAGCGGAGGCGCCAGGGAGACTGAGTGAGACCTCAGTCTACATTTCCAGCATTGTAAACACATCCATTCCACACACCCTTGAAACGAAGAGGAGTCTAACTAGAGTTAGCACTAGCTAACAGATCCACAAAGAGATTTTTATTTCTTTCAACTCAGTCTGCTGTGGTTGGACCACATTTTGATCTAAGTTCTAGCTATGGTAGCTAATGAATGGTATGAGAAATGCCTAGGGAGGCTTGGCTCACACAAGAGAGTGGTCCCCACACTAGGCTCTAAAAGTCAAAATAGCTTGAGCTGGTGAGATGGCCTCCCAAGCCTGATGACCTGAGTCCCACATGGTGTAAGGAGAAAGCCAGCTCCTACAAGAAGCCCTCTGACTGCGACAGGTGTCTTTCCCTCTCAGCTTCACTCCCCTCTCTACATCTCTCCCTGCTCTCTCTCACAGACTAAGCAAACCAATAAAATGTAATATGTATTTTTTAAGAGAATATTTTGGTTCTGGTATGGAGCATCAGTATTCCTTATATGTCCTTAAGTGGCTCATCTCGTGCTTCTAATACAGACAGAGCTGGGTGGCCATGGTATGTAGTATGTATGTATATACATATGTATGTATCTAAGTATGTACGCACTATACATCTACAAGATGTAGCCTGTATTTGATGAAAAATTTTTAGTTATCTCAAAATAAATGTTTTTCCAAGAATTTTTATCAAGACTTCTTGTAAAGGAATTTCTTATCTTAGCTGAAACCTTTTAAGGTATATTTTTGTGAAAGTCTGTCCCAGTATTCTTATACTCTTGAAAGAAAACAAATATTTCTCAAAATACTGACACCCTGCATTCTCGAAGCGCTGTGTCACTGCAGGATGGAAGTGGGCTTGGTGAACATCGCTTCCGCGGCTACAGAATCAAGAGGCCACTATCCATCTTCCCATCATGGCTGATGCAGGGTGCTACCTCTCTGTTCTCTTTGTCCTTTTCTGGGTTTGAGATGAGTCTGCACTATTTGTTTGCTTTGTGGTAATGGCGCAAGGTCTTTACCTCACTGTCCTCAGTTGTTATTTATGTACAATGGCCTTATAATACCTGAGCCAAGGTGTGCATGAGACGGGCATGAGAACACGCTGTGAAGAGCTAGTCAACTGACAGAGTCTAGTTCTGCCGTAAGATCAAATGATTACTCACATATTTAAAAATCAGCGTGAAGTGATTCTGACAGCTCAATAGGAGTATATAGCTGTGTATAAAAACTACGTCTCCATCCTTACCACAGAACCTTTACACAGCCATCTTGAGACAGGCAGGAAGGCAGACCTCCAGATGACGGCCAAGCCTCCCTGAGACCTGTGCTTCCTCTGGAGGTTCCCACTCCAGCGCCAGCTCTGGTGTCAGTTCTCCCACTATACTTGAGTTTATTCTGCTTTTTTCTAATTCCTTTTGAGTTAGAAATTCAGAGTTTGCTGTTGTAGGCTGTTTTTCATGTTTCATCTAAACATTTGAATTTCCCTTAGTCAGTATCATACTATTTTAATGTTGGAATATTCTAGTCGTGCATGAGCAACTAAGCTTAAATAATTTAGTTGTGGACTCCCTTTGAAGAAGCTGAAAAAAAATCAGTTACTTCCCAGTTAATAGTAATCACCGATGTGCTACACACCAGTGTTTATTTAAATCCTTTAACTGTTGATTCACAACTGTACTAAGAATTGTAGGTGAAGACAGGAAGTTGATTTTTAAGTTAAGTGTTTTATGTAACAGGTCTTCGTGTCCTGCTCTAGAAGATGATTTTTTTGACTGGGAAGTACACAAGTCATAAGGACTCACATTTCAGTCAGTTTTCCTAGAGTGAAGTTCATAGAGCCAGCACTCAGATCAGGAAAGAGCAGGTTAGCACCACTCGGTCCTCTGTGTTCTGAGGCAGTTACTCATTTAGCCTCAGAGACTGACTTTGCCAGTTTCAGAAACATATCAATCAAACAAAGCAGTTGGTTTTTAGCCGTTATGCGTATTTATTTATTTATTTATTTATTTATTTATTTATTTATAGAACCACTCTTTCTATGTAGTCCTGGTTGTGTTGGAGCTTGCTATGTAGGCCTGGCTGGTCTTGAACCCACAGAGACCTGCATCTTGAGTGCTGGGATTAAGGGGATGTACCACCATGCAGACTTGGCTCGGTTACTTTTGTGTTTTGCTATGGTTAGTTCTTTCTCATGGTCACAGTGTATTCCATTGTTTAGATATAGCTTGGTCTATTCTTGGTAGGCATTTGGGGGATTCAGAACCACTGTGAACTGTAGAGAGAATCTCTTATAAATATCACCCGTCAGTAAGAAAGCTGGTGGCCAATGAGCTGAGGCAGGAAATAGGAGGTGGGACACTGGCAGGAAGAGAGAGGATTCTGGGAAATAATAAGAAATAAAAGAGAGATGAGGGGAAAGCCAAGAGAGGTGAGACAGGAGACAGGTGTAAACCACCAGAAGGGAGACACTGAGGAGACGAGAAGGAAGAATGGGCAGGACTGGAGGAGAGGTAGCTAGCCACATGGTAGACATAGAATAGTTCAAATAGATAAGTCAGGGAATGAGCCAGAGCTTATGGCCTAGGCATTTAGTAATGACAAATTAGTCTCAGAGTTGTTCCAGGAGCAGGACTGGGAAGGAAAGACAGATACGATTTTTACCAGTGAAACACAGTAGCTCAGCTCTGCCTTTGCTGAGCATCTGTATAGATCACTGTCGGGAGACAGGTGCACGTGACCTCACTGAGTCACCTGCCTTCAGCTTCAGTAGATAGGGCCAGACATTTTTCCAATTTATTCTTATTAAGAGTGAATGAGAGTTTAAAATGCCTCAGACTCTTGGGTCCCATTTAACATTAAAGCCTAAAGATGACCGTACATGCTACAATGTCTGGTCTAACTGATAAAATAACAGGAGAAGAGCATGTAACTGACAGGTTAATAACTGTGAGTGAACACATGAACTCTCACCTGGAAGGCCAAACAGTCAGTCACAGGAAACAAATGGTACTTTAGACCAGGCCTGATGTGACCACACTGGTGAGCTTGTACTATTAACCCAATAGAAAGTGGGCGTGTCGGATGCAGCAGAGGCTGGGGGGGCGATGCTGTGGGGGAACTAAAGGACATTCTGCTCACAAGTCTCATACCTTAGACACAAGGCACAAGAGGATTAATAGTAAAAAGTTAGAAAAAGTTACATCATGCAAACCATATTCAGAAGAATGTTCATGTCGCCATGAAAGTACCAAAAAAGGATCTAAAGAGAAAAGAAAAGTTCTCGATGAGTAAAGTCTACTTCCTGCTTGAAAACTTAGGTGTGCTTCTTCACCCTGAGAGATGTATTTGGAAGGCCTCTTAGGAATGCTTGCTGCTAACTGATGCTGCAGCCTCCATAGGGAATGACCATCAGGACTCAGGTGTCCTAGATGGCCATTCACACACACACACACACACACACACACACACACACACACACACACATGTGGCCATGCCTTCCTTCTGAGCAAGCTCCTAATAGAGACTCCCCTAAGTCCCCTTCCACTTCTTCTCCTTTTGTCCTCTCTTTCTCCTCCTGGGTCCTTATTACACAGAGGCCTTTCTGTGTTCCGCTTCAGTAGATAACAGCCAGTACAGCCAGTCAGTGAGGTTCAGTGAGAGACTGTCTCAAAAAAGAAGACGTGACAAAAAGGAGGAAGTCACCCAGCATCATCTGCATTTCTAGGGTCTCCACATGGTCTCTCAGTGAACCTCACTGACTGGCTATACTGGCTTGCCAGCAAGCTAGAGGTCCCATCTAAATAGGCTCCTCCAGCACGAGGGTTACACATGTGTGTTCCGATGTCTAGCTTTTTACATGGGTGCTAGGGATATGAATGCAGGTCTGCATGTTTGCGTGGCCGGCACTTTACCAACGGAGCCATCTCCTCCTTTAAAGCTCTGCGTTTAAAATCTTACTGTTTAATTTACTACTCAAATACCTGGAATTCAACTGAGTACCTGGCAGGGGTGAACCTAGCAGGAAACTGTAATAATTCTAAGTTGGTATGCCATCCATGATATAGCCTCAGAATGCATAAAGCAAAGCTACCATATAATTAAAATTATTGAGATACAATGTATAGGAAAGTATATATCCTAGAGTGCAAGGTTGTCTTGTCCAGTGAGTATCTCCACAAGCTTAGGAATGTACTCGGAGTCTACCACCTTCCCAGCACCTCAGACATGAACGTTTTGACCTCTAATGTGATAGATTAAGGAAGTCTGCCTGCTAGTAAACTCTGTGGAACAGAAGCATCAACATGGAGTTTTGTGCTTGGTTTCTTTCATGAATACTGTATTTGTTAAATATGTTAAAACCATTTTCTGAATATTAACCTGCTTTTATATATTTCAGGTGCTTTAGAAACAACCTATGGGAGCTTACGTGTACTAAACATTGAAAGGAATGGAAACATTATTTATACCTATAAGGTAAGTTCATGTTGTCTTCTTATTGCAGTATGTATATAGAACATATAATTTGTTTTATTCATTTCTATTAACCCTTTACAGAAATTTACAGATTTTTTTTTGAGATTATATACCTGTGGCTTGACTAGAATTCACCATGTAGATCAGGCTGGTCTCAAATTCACAAAAATTTGCCTGCCTCCTACTTCCCCAGTGCTAAGACTAACTTTTTATAGAATCTATATGCTCCTTTATTGAGGACCACAAACACTAGTTGGCACTTAACTTTTAACCTTGGTTTTGCTGAAGAGTGCTAATAGTCCATCTTATGAAGCATTTTATCTTTTAAAATAAGATAAAACTACATACCTGAAATTCAAAGAATTTGAATGGATGGATAATTTCATTGTCTAATTTTTTAAAAAGCCAAGATACTTAAACCTAGTTAGAATGTTAAATTTTTGTCCTTGAGAAAATGCTTACTATGGTTACTTCACACATTCAGGTGTAAATATAACCATTGTTAACATTCTGGGTATGTAATGTCTTCAGGTGCTGAATGTCCTAAGGAAAATTTCACTTTCCTACTAACTCTGCTAACAGAGACACATCAGGGAGTAGTTTCAGAAACAAGTTCTATACATTTTTGTCACCATTTTTTGTTTCCTTGATGATTAAAAAAGTTCTTAAACTGCTGGGCATGGCAGTGCACACCTTTAATCCCAGCACTCAAAACAGAGGCAGGCTGATCTTTGTGAGTTCGAGGCCAGCCTGGTCTATAGAGTGAGTCCAGGACAGCCAGGACTTGTCATATCTCAAAAAACAAATGAACAAACAAACTTAAGTTGTGTTTAGGATTGATTCATTTAAAGATTCAGTTTTACTTATAGACTATGCCACATTTATTCTTTCAAGGACACAGCTGGAGGCTCAGGCCTTCTAAGCAGTCCTCAGATTCCCCAAGCTGTTCAGGGATGACCTGTTTCCCTCTCCAGGCTCCAGTGACTAGCTGAATTCGGCCTGGTACCTCTAGATGTACAGCAGGCTTCCTGTGAGTGCCTGTTGCTAAAATAATGTGGATAGACTTATTGCAGGTCAATTTCCCAAACATTAATAACATTAATAAATATCTGCTTAATTTTTAGGATAATAAGGGAAATGCTGTCTTTGGATTATATGACTGCCAAACCAGACAGAATGAGGTAATTGTAGATATCTCAGTTGACTGTTTTTTTTTCTGCCTGCTGTTTTTTAAACATAAACCTCAATTTTGTTTTCCAAAAATGTATATCCTTTATTTCTTTCCTTCTCCTATTTCTTTAGCTTTTTAAAAATTCTTTTTTCCTTTAAAAAAAAATGAAGAGGCTAACAACCACTGAACCACATGATGCATACAGTCTCTCAGTCCTTTGAAATTTAAAGTTGGCTGAGACTAATTTTACAATGTTATGGGGAAAAATAAGAGTGGGAAGTCCACCCATGTGTGTTCCTAGATCAATTTAATAATGCCGCTGGGTGCTGAGTTCTGACTCTGACTAACTTTCACGCCATTGTTCTTGCTCCATTTCAACAACAATCCAGGTTTGGAGATATGCCTGCCTCCCTTAATAAACTAGTCCCATTAGTTCCTGGCCAGCGTGGACAGGAGGGTGGCAGGCATGTGTGAGAAGGGGATCTCAGTGGCCCTGCAGTTTAAACCTCCCGTATCCATTTAAAATTTCTCTCAGGCCACCCTCCTCTTTTGGCTTCCAATGTGGTTAGCTCTCTTTTCCCATCATCCCATTCTGCCCACAGCTGTTCATTCGCTCATCTATTCACATTCTGAGTCAACAACCATACAAGTCAGTGTTGTCTTTGTGAGGATCCAGAGTCACGTGGATGGCCAAGGCCAGTCCCGTCACAATACAGTCTGTGGCAAGGGCAAATAAAGCTTTGGGTACTAGTACAGTCCTTTTCTTGGCTTCTCTATGGTCTGAATTTTGAAAAGGTGGTTCAGGAGCAGCATTATATGACATTTCAGTCTGGCTGGGGTAGGGGTGGGGCAGCAGCTGCCTTTTGTGGATAGGTTCATCTTCCCTGGGGCTGTAAGCAAGGACTAAGGGATGGTTTCTATTCTATTTGTTTCTCACTACTTCTTTGGATTTTAAAACATAGATATTACTCAAGAAATCAATTGGTTAAGACATAAATTAGTGGAAAATTTAATCAGTTTGGATGTAATAAATTCCTTTCATGAACCCAAGTTGGCCCCATGGCCTGTTTGCTGCTGCTCTAACAGAGTGTCTGAGATTTGTAGAGAACAGGTATTAGTTCCAGGCAGTACAGTTCAGGATGTTGGGAAGTTCAAGGTCAAGGATGCCACATTTGGTAAGGGCCTTTCTCTTTCTGTCATTAAATGTCCCACAGGGGAAGGGGGAGAACAGGAGAACAGGAGTCCAGGACTCAGACTGTATGTGTTTTATGATAAACACTCCCCCAGGAACTAGCCCTGTGTTGTGAAAACAGCAGTAGTCCACAAGGAGGGCAGAGCCCTGGGACCCAACTACCCATTACTGGGCCTTCCCCAGGCACCACTGTCTGGGGATTCTGACTCCAGCCTATGAATTTGGAGACATAGTCAGACCACAGAGGTTGCTAAGCACCCTTCCTCGTCTATCTTTTCCACATATTCAGAAAACCTTACAACACACATGGTTTCCCCCGGCTCATTGGTTTTGTTGAGGAAATGGCTCATTGGTTTTGTTGAGAAAATAGATTTGCATCTCAGGTCAGCTGGAGTTTAGATTTTCTTTCAAGTCCTATAGTTTTGCTTTGGAACTGTGCCACCAAGAGAAAGACGACGCTTTATTTTAGTGAAAGAATTCCAGGATGGGATAGAGGCTGCACGGGTATAATGACTCCTCGCCGTCCGAAGTGCTTCAGCTTTAAATGTTTTTAAATGGGCAAAACTGTCAAGTCCCATGTACCCTTAGCCCAGTCGTCTCCAGTTGCTACACTTGTAAAACTGTAGCATGTCAGTAGAACCAGGATGGTGACATTGGTGGAAGATGTGGAGTGTGACGAGATTCTGTCATTACCATTGCTGTCAAATTCAAACTCTGCTGTTATTCCCCAGATCTGCTGGTGACCACTGACCAATTCCAGGGAAACTCAGAACCCTTACCTTTTAAAGTCATTGACTTTCCTAAATTTACAGTTGTCTCCAACATTTTCTCTCTCTTTGAAAAAAATATGTACTATGTATGTGTCCTTGCGTGAGCTTATGTGCATGCAGAAGCCCATGGAGGCCAGATGAGGGCATTGGATCCCCTGGAACTGGAGTCATGAGCCACCACGTATGTGCTGGGAACTGAACCTGTGACCTCCACAAGAGCAGTAAACACTTTTAGCTGCTGCACCGTTTCTCTAGCCAGCCCTTCTCCTTTAAAAAAGACTTTTATTTTAGTTTGTACCTTTTATTTTCTTGTGGACCTTGGGATTGAACGTCTAGCCATGGTTTAATGGCGGGAAGTTGCTGTACTACGGAGTGGCAGCCTTAGCATCTTGGTATTTGATGACATACATCTGCCTTTGTTGTCGAATGTAGTTTAGGAAATATGAATAAGGAACTCTTTTAAATCCTACCCATGTCATTCCTCTTTCCGTTGTTTCCTCTTCCTCCCTGATGTCCTGCCCTGCTTCCTTTTTTATTTTTTTAATCATTTTCTTGGTCTTTTAAGACTTTGATTTAGTCCCAGTGTTTTACACTTGATGTGCAGGTCACACATTTTCTCTATTTTCTTTTCTTGCATATTTCTTTCATTTATTCATTTTGAAGGATGATTTTACTGAGTCTAGAATTCAGGATGGCAGGTCTTGTCTTTGGGGTCTTGAAAAAACTGCCTTTTTCCCTTTCTCCTTTTCTTCTTCCCTCTCTTCTCTTCCCTCCTTCCTTCCCTTCTTCCCTCTCTCCCTCCTTCCCCCCTTCATAGCTTCTCATGGGAAACCTGTCTTTTAAAATTTCCTCACACACTCAAGGTATCATTTCCGACAATCACTTTTGAAAAAAAAAAGTTTTCTTATTTCTCCTTTGCTTTTTATTTTCTGCAGATTTACTTGGGTATGCCCCTAAGGATTTGTTTGGGTTTTCATTCAGCTTCATAAATCTTTTGCTTGCTTGGGGGCAATTCACTAAGCAGCCACTGTGTCTTTAAGTTCCTCTCTTCTCTCCTTTGGATGCTAATTACATCAGAGTAGTTAACATAGGTCTTTGTGATAGCCAGAACTCTGGCTTCAGCTCCTTTTCCTGCATCCCAGATTATTTACTTTGTGTTGTTCATAGATTCCAAGTTCCCGCCAAGCTTATAGATTTTTTTTAAACCGTTGCTATCATTTGAGATTTAAATAGTTGATATTTGCAATTTTTAGGTGCAACATTTCTATGCATTTTTCTTTATATATTTCCTTCTTTAGATTTCTATTATTTTTGATTCAATCACATTTTAAAGTTATCTGTGATGGTTTATATAAGTTCATCCCAAGGAGTGGCACTATTAGAAGATGTGGCCTTGTTGAAGTAAGTGTGTCCCTGTGGGTGTGGGCTTTAAGACCTTCCTCCTTGCTGCCTTGAAGGGAATATTCTGCTAGCAGCCTTCAGATGAAGATGTAGAACTCTCAGCTCCACCAGCACCAGGCCTGCCTGGATGTTGCCATGTTCCTGCCTTGATGACAATGGACTGAAATTCTGAACCTGTAAGCCAGCCCCAATTAAATGTTGTTCTTTATAAGACTTGCCTTGGTCATGGTGTCTCTTCACAGCAGTAAAACACTAAGACATTATTGAAGTTTGAAGTTTTTAAAAAAAAGAAAAAGAAAAAAAAGCACAGCTGCTTTGAAATCTTTGCCACAGCATCTTGTATTTGCCACCCTAGTGCTTAATGCCTGTTTTTCTCTCACTTGAACTCAAGTTTTCCTGGTCCCCCGCATGACTCACCACTTGAGTATCTCCCAAGAGACTCTAGATGTTATTTAGTTTCTCTTTTAGTGTTTCCTCTGATACAGAACTCATAAAGGGCACCACCTCACTCCTGCTGAGGTGGAAGAACTCAAGGCCTCCACTTGCCTTCCTTTGATGAGACTCAGCTGAGAGGGTGCCCTGTTAGTCCTAGGGGGACATGCAGTTTGCAGATTCCCAGTAGGTTTCCACTAACCTCAGGGTGAGGACTCAGGGGCTGATAGGTAGGTGATGGGAAAAATGATAGCAGAAGGCCTGGCTTCCCCTTCACCGCCCTTAGATGGTGCTCCACTAAGGAAGAAGTGGGTCTCGTCAGTGCTGGACAAGGCTGAGTGTCCATGATTCCTACACAGCTACTGTGTTTTGAGAGGACGTAAATTCCTTCCAGGTGGGATGAAAGTCTTGATTTATACTTGGTCTTTTCTGATTCTGTTTGGGCAGGAGTGAACAGAGTGCCTTGGGTATCTGGATGAGGTAGGACCCTGGTCTCCCCACTCAGCCTTTGTATAAGAGAGAAGTGGGCTGCATTTTTTACAGACTTGTTTGGCTAGACAGCAGCTAACAGTCATTGTCTTTCTGGATTTCTTGTTTCTTTGACACAGGGGATGGGGTACGTTCTTCTGTCTATTCCAGGGTCATTTCTGTTATAGTCTCTTCTTTAGTTTCAAGTCTAGAATATTTTATTCAAAAAGGTCATCTTTGCTTTACGTCTCTTAGAGTCCTCAGAGAGTCTGCATCTCCCTCATCCCCTGGCGTGCTGTAGATAAACCCCACGGCTTCGTGCTTATGATAGAACCATACATCCAGCTGTGTCTTCTTTACTCAACTGTCCAATCTTCTTAGTTTCATTTTATACACAACCTTCAGGGATTCCAGCTTTACTGAGTGGGAGGAATAGAGAGAGAAGTGAGTCTTTTTCTTCTTGGTTTTGCTCTCTGTAGGTTTAAATGAATGACTCTCCTAATATGGCCAAACAGGATGCAGTATGTTTATCCATATGAAGGCAAGTTCTAAGCTGTTTCTCCCTACTCCTCTCTCATCTCTTTTCTCCACTTCCATTCCTGCTAGTCTACCTTCAGTGTATACAGAAGGGAACAAGACATGGGATACAAGCGTCTAAAGGAATTTTCTGGGAATCTGGGACAAAGATTCCTCTTCTCTGCTTTTGTTCATAATATGGAATGTGATGTTGGAACCTCCATGACTTTGAGGACTAGAACTTGAACTTTTGATATGTGGAAGCTGAAAATATATTAAAGCCAGAAAATTAAAAGAATGGGTATTTCCAATTCTGGATTAAACCATGACTAAACCCCAGACCTACCTTCTATTGTCCAGTTTCATGAGTCACTGTGTAATTGATTTTCTTTTTACATAAACTAGTTTGGTGAATAATTTTTGATGTTTACAATTGAAGAATTGCATACATGTATTCCTTATGATGCAGTGATTCTTGCAAAGACGTATTTGAGGTTTAGGAATGTATCTAAGTAGGAGAATACTTGGCCAGCATGTACAAGCCCCTGGGTTTGAGCCACAATACTGGAAATGTGTGTGTGTTTCTGTAAGTGTGTATGTGTGTGTGTGTATGTGTGTGTGTGTGAAATAGATCATTTTAATACCTAAAAGTAGGATATAAATTAATGCCCACCAATAAGTTATTTGGGAATAAATACAACTGCTGAGGGATTAAGAAGTCTATAAATTGGGCTATATTAGAAGATTAACATAGCTTAAAGTACTTGCTGGACAAACGTGGCAACCCAAGATCAAATCCTCAGCACACATGTGAAAAAGTGTAGTGGTGTGCATCTGCAGCCCCAGTACTGGGAGTGTGGCAGGTGGGGTCCAGGGACCCATGGGGCTGATGGTCTAGCCCAGTGGTGGAGCATGGTAGAGAAGACACTTGACCTTGACCCCTGGACCTCACATGCACTGGCATAGGCACATGTGCCTGAATTAAATCTACATATAACACACACACACACACACACACACACACACACCTGGAAATGTATACAGGCACAGAAGGATCTCCAAAACGTTTTGCTGCATGAAGAATAGCATTTGTTAGGATACTTCATTCATGTTAGAAAACTATGAAACGAAAGGAATAATATATATTGAGGTAACTTTAGAAAATCTGGACAGCTACTGTGCATGTTGCAAACTTGCTTCTTAGAAAGGAGTTGACATTGCCTGAGGGTTGGAAGGTTTGATATTATATTTAACAGCATTTGCATCTTTGAAGCATCAAGATTATTCATGTGTTATTTCATAGTTAAAAGTATAAAATATTAAAAACATAGTGTATAATCTATGATTCTTCTTGCTTATAAATAAGAATCACTCAGAACAAGAGTTTTAAAGCAAAACTTCTGCAGTAATTTAGTCACTTCTTTAAAAAAAAAAACCTACAACGTAGGGGAATTCCAGGGCATGGAAGTAGGAGTGGGTGGATGGGTGGGGATGGTGGATAGAAGCAGGAGAAGGGGGATGGGATGGGGGTTTCTGGGGCTGGCAATGGGGAAAGGGGATAACATCTGAAATGTAAATAAATAAAATATCCAATAAAAAAGTACAAAAACCAAAAGGAAACAAAACAAAACAAAAAGATTCTATTATTAATTGTGTGTACGTGGGATCGGGGCATGTGCTCATGAATGCCCAAGGAGGTGTTGGATGTTCCTGGGTTGTTCTCACATGCAGTTATGAGTTTCCTGATGTGGGTGCAAGAAATGGAACTTGGATACTTGTCAAGAGTAGCTCATAAGGCTGGCCATCTCTCTAACCCCAAGTTTAGTGCCTTCATAGTAACTCAAAGCCCTTTGGTAGCTGTTTAGTCCCTTTTAGTAGCTGTTCCCTGTGGATAGGGTGATCCAGGCATAACATGACCTCAGTCCTTAACCTACATGTTGTATCTCCCATCTACACAGCTGTTTCCATTGTCCTTAGCATTGATGAGATGGAATTTTTTGACTTTTTTCTTTCTGTTGTTTAAGACAAGGACCCACTATATAGCCCAGGAGAGCCTCTAACTCTTCATCCTTCTGCCTTGGCTTCTAGATTTGGGTTACTGCTGTCCACACCATGACCAGCTTCTCTTGACATTTCAAACATGCATAAAGAAGAAAAGATTACATAAAGATAGATTTCTTATCCACATCTCAAAATTGAGATATACGTGTGACACAACCAATAGTGTCATAGTCAAGTGTGCAATCTGATTAAAGCCTTTCTCAGCTCAGTACTTGTAATGCTAACATTTGAGTGCTCATTATGACAGCATACACTGTACTGAGTACTTTGTGGTATTGTCTCCCCTGATCCCCATGATAGCCCCATGAGATACTTCACGCACTTTGGCCCCACCACTCTAGCAGTTCTCGGTCCTCACAGTTACGTGAGACACATATTATAGCCCTAGGTTCATTATGATCGAATTAGGAAGTTGAATAATTTGTCCAAAGTCACACAGTTGGAAAATAACAGTCAGGATTTGTCCATGGGCTTAGCATGGCTTCAAAGTTCATGTCCTTCACTATGCTGTTTGTCTGTCTCATAGCTAAGTTTTAGCACCAAATATGGTATAAAATATTTTCCTTTTGAAATAATCCAGAATATCCCCATAGGCTGAGGTCTCTTTATAAAATGGTTTACTAAGCAATATTTGGTATAAAGTTTAACAGGAACGTATTTTATGCAGTTGTTGTTTCCTATAACCTCCCCCCCCTTTGGCTGTTTTAATAGCATCTGTATACCTTTGAGAAGAACATGCAAGCTGTCAGTTGCTCTGTCAACATCGAGAGAACAGTGCTTGGTGAGTTGAGATCTCATTGCTGTATGTTAAAGACTACATCTTTTAAGTTTAAGCATTTTGGATTTTGCAATATTTGATTCTAACAACTTCTAACAACAATTTCCCATAAAATTCATGTTGAAATTGAGAATCTGTAGGACACGCCTATAGGAAAGACTGCCTTGCCTTCATTTACAGTGTTACCCTGAAGATGCTTAAACTCTCACTTATTCTAGATACAAGATGAAAAGCTTGAACAAGCTGCCATATGGGTCAATTGCTAATTTAGTTGTTTTCTTTTCCATTAGCTGCAAGCTTCATTCAGTACACGAAAGAAGGAGTAAGGAACGAGCTTCAGACAGGTAACGGAATTATCCTTCCTTTGTACATATTGATAGATAAAGATCCGACTGAGCCGAGCTCAAGCTTCTTTAGAAATGCCTTTATTTTAGAATAAAAAGGCAGTGGCTATTTAAACACAACGTTTTAAATTCTGTTTCTCAAGTAATGCAGCAAAGCATGAAAAGTAACAATGGTAAGTGTAGTGATAGTGAGATGCTGATGAGTGCTTGAAGAGTAAGTGGATACTGGAAATACATTTGACTTCTGTGGCCTGAAGCTAATCTCAAAGTCGGGAAACTACTCAAAAAATATCTGGTGAAATACTGATTAATCTCTAATGCCTTGTGGATATCTCAAACATACAAAATAAAGTACACATCTGTCATTTGCCAAAACCTACTTTATAGTTTATTAGCCATGTGGAATGAAACCTTTTACTTTTTAAATTTCAAAAGATATTCTATGTGCCTCATCTGCTCCATAATGCAACAATGTTGGCTCCTACTGTAGTCAGGCACTCTGCATGGTGGCAGAGATACAAGGTCTGTAAAGACCTGAGGTGGCTGTCTTCCTGGCGCTTTCAACCTAGCACCGGACTTCAACTACAAGTGTTCAGTGACAGAGGCCATAGAAGAAATAAATAGATTCAGTGTAAGAAAAATGAAGTGCCAGGCTTGGGGCATAGCTCAACCCATGAAGTGTTTGCTGTGCGAGCATGGGAATCTGAGTTTAATCTAAAAACCAACATAAAACCAGCCAGGTATTACAGTACATACTTGTGATCTTAGTGCAATGGAGAAGGGTATAGGACATACCTGGGCCTCACTGGCCAGCCAGCTCAGCCTACTTGGCCATCCCCAGGCTGAACACAGCTATAAGGACTAGCGGTGGGTACAGGGTCTTGACCTGTAGGAGACATAAAAGGATGAGCCACTACTTAGCTTTAGGTTTTTGTTGCTGTAAAGGGCAGTTGATTCCACTAGATCCAGCTTTGCAATTTGTTGAGGCCTCTGGACTTCTGTGTAAAAATCTAACTTATAATAAAAGTCAGCTCAGCCAGTCTTTTAGACTCCACTTCAGCAATGACAACCATCTGTGTGGGCTGGAGGCAACTCTGGTCCAGAGGGTCTGATTCTGGGCCTTTACTGCTGTGTTCCCAGGTGCTTTCCCTTGGCTCTGTTTGTTTGGCACTTAGATTCTTTCTTTTGCTAGCACAGTTCTTACTTGGATGTATTCTGTGGTTGCATGTGATGGGAAAACCCTTTGTACATACTTTCCACTTGAGTGTCACGAGGCTGTCTTGGGCATCTGAGGACATACATCTCCCCACATCTTACAGAGGCAAGAGACTTGGAGCCAAGCCTGGGAAGAGCTCTTGTGAGATACTAGTGGGCTAGATGTCTTCTCTGAAGTCTCCTTGCTTATTCACCATTACTTTCACCTTGCCATGATATCCTGAGAACTACGGTCACTCCTTCCCTGTCCCTGCTGGCCTCCTCCTGTTTCCTTAGCTTCTCTAATGTTCTTAGCATTTGATACAATGATCACCTCCAGGGATGGAATTGTACTGGATTATGTGGATGTGATCTAGAATACTAGTATGCTGACCCCTCAAATAAGGGTTTGAACAAAAGCAGACACAGGGCTGATCTAATGTACTCATTTGTCCTGGGAAGGTAAGGTTACCACTATAGCTGTACAGCTGGTGAGGCCACGCCCCACACCTTGGATTTGGGCTGTGTGTCCTCTGCTTCTTCTTGTTCCTTGTTACCTCCAGGAAAATTCTTCTATGCTGGCTAAAGTCAGAGCATCTGTAATATTTACTTGATGTTTATCATTTCCGCCTCACTGTCAATAGTCAATTGTGTATGTGTTATAAAGTGCAGTTCCAGATCAATTTCAAAGTGTTACTTTAAATTAAATTAAATCCTACTCAGAGATGCTTGCTCGGTCTTGGATTTGGGTGAGATTACGTGCTTGTACCTTTAAAAACTGAATATTATTAGTTATCATGCTACTTACCAAGTAGCTTGTATCCCTCCTCACCTTTTATCTCTACCACCGGAGTAACAACCAGGCATAACTCCAGAATGTTCCCCCTCAGCTTCTCTACCAACTTCTTGCTTTTGCCTTAGGATCGTTGGGAGGATCTGTTTTCTCCATTACAGCCTGGGGGTATGGATGGAAATCATGCTCACTAGGGCAGACCACAGTTAGTGGGAATCAGGGAGCTGAAGAAAAATTGTTCTCTACTTCCAGTCTGAAAAGGGGTGGTTCTGAGGGAATGGGGCTTACACACTCACATGCACACACACACACACACACACACACACACACAAGCCTGATACAAGGAGGCCACTAATGTGCTAGTTCCCTGTCTAGTGTTCTTCTGGACCTTGGCCCTCTCCCTACTCCCTCAGGCAAACTTCTCCCAGCTGTAGTGGACCTGTCCCCTGAGGTTAACTTCTGGCCTTAGTTTGAGTTTCATTGGAAGCAGTATTTGTTTAAAGGAATTGAGCATTATTAGTGTATTTGGGTCATGGAAACACTGCTGGAGCATGATTTAAACCTGAAAGAAGGAAAGGGAGGTCACATTTCTGTCAGAGCAACTTCCAGCTCAAGGGCTAGACTCCATAGATTCACTGTGTTAAGAGTGATAAGGACGGTGGGTTGAGGTGGAGAGGAGGAATTAGAAGTCAGAGGAGAAGGAAGATGAGGTAGAGAATCATCACCTCAGTAGCAAGAGTGCTGCGTGAGGACTTGGCCTTTACTCTACCGGAAAGGGAATTCTGCAGGTTAAGGTTGCATCTGGACATACTTAGAAAACAGATTTGTCAAGAGTAGCTTCTGAATTTGATAAGCATATGAGAAGAAGAACAAGTCAAAAGTGACTCAGCCTGTGTGTGTGTGTGTGTGTGTGTGTGTTTTGTGACTGGGTGGTTGGGTGCATGAATGTGTATATGTGTTCCTGTGTGAGTTTTTGTGTGTGAATGTGTGTCTGTGTGAGTTTTTATGTGTGAGTATATGTGTGAGGACAAGTGTGCATGTATATGAATATTTATACGTATTTGTATGTGAATATGTATGTGAGTGTTAGTATGTGTGTATTTGTGCCTCTGTGTGTGTGTGTGCACTTGTGTGTGAGTGTGTGTGAGTATTTGCATTTGTGTGTGAGTGAGTGCTCTGGTCCATGCGTCAGTCAACGGGATCTGCAAGAAAGAGAGTGGGGATGGAGGGCAAGAGACGCGAAGAATGGAGACAAGACAGAGAGTCTGATCAAGTACCATTTATTGAAAGAAAATCGTGGGTATATATAAACACACTTTACCACGTGTGCCTTGGAGCTGGGGCACTAAACAACAAACCAAGATATGTGAGAAAAACAAGATGCTTATCAGAGTGTGCTCAGCTGTTGTAGGCTGTTGAAAACAAGTCTCTTGTCAGGGTATACGGCCCGAGATGGCTGCAAAGATGATAGCCGCTTTCTGGTAGGAGTCGGCTCCCAGCAAATGATTATGTGTATGTGTGTGTTTGTATGTGAGTATGTGTGTGAGTATATGTGTGTGTGTGAGTATGTGTGAGTGTGTATGTGAGACTGTGTGTGTGAGTGAATGTTCTTGTTAACAGGAGTTAGAAGAAGCATTTGGTTTTGCGCACGCTGTTTGAGATGGGAATTAGACATCCAGAGATGTAAGGTAGGGATCTGAATCTGAGTCAGAGCTCAGGAGAGAGGAGGCTGGGGTTGGAGAAGTACCTTTGGGAATCACCAGTAAGCACCATGTAAAGATTTCATCCTGTTAAGGTTTCAGAAGTGTAACTGGACTTGATGGTGTAGCCCTTGTTATCCTAGAACTTAAGGAGCAGATGGAGGAGGGTCAGGAGTTGATAGTCACCCTTGACTACATAAAACTACACAAAATCTGTCTTAAAACACTATTTACCTGAAAAAAAATTATTTCAGAAATGATACAACCAGAAAAGACTATAAAATATGTCATGATGTTTTATCCTTTGAACAGATACTTTGGAAAGATTTCATCTGCCAACAAATGGCTACCATATAAGTCATTTTATTAAAAAAAAAAGTCTCCTGCAAACTGTTAACACTCTGTTGTTTAAAATGAGATTTCTTTCCCCATTGCAAAAGAGACAACCTATAATATATTTCAAGTAAAAGATTCTTTGATCCATATACTTTACAGTCAGCTTTTACCAGCAACTTCTCTCCTTGGTCATAGTAAGGTTGATGTTTGTTTAGAAAATGACCTGCCTGTTTTAGAATTCTGTTTAGAAAATTCTGTGTCTTCTCTTGTAGGGCTGCATTTGACACCTCATACAGTAGATCTCTCTTGGGCAGTAACTGGGTGGCCTCTTGTATTGGAACCCCACTGTCATAGAGACTCCCCAGAGCCTTCATATGATTAGGGACAGATAAACGGTTATTCCATGGAACTGTGGTTTGGCTCAAGATCTCCACTGTGAAGGACATGGCATGTCATTTAGAGACATGCCTGTTGGGAGAGGTTGACTCCCACCGTCATGGTAGTTGTACTGCTTAAATGCCTGGCCTGGAGATTAGTGGAGGAAGATGGTTTCTGCTATTGAGAGTAAAAGAATTTAAATGATAGTTGGAGACAGTTGGATTCATGTTGTAAAAGCCAGATACAGGGTGATTCCTTATTTTTCTTTCAATAGTTTCCCTGGCTTCCCACAAACTGTGGGGTTTTCATGCAGTTAGAATGTCTAAAATATTATAAGAGGTAGTTGGCTGTCGGTTTGTACTGTCTAGTGTAGTAATTTAGTTTGATATATTTAAAATGGATATTAGTAAGGAAATTGGTTTCCCTTCTTTTTCTCAATTTTACAATGTTTTTATTCTATTTTTCTTCTTGACTATTTTCAGCACCAATGTCCCTCTTATTCCTGGAGCCATGTTTTAGGCACCAAGCAAATTCCTATAGTTCCTCACTGTCAGTGTGACATAGTCTAGAGTCAACTGAGAAAAGATCTCAGTTAAGGGATTGGCCAAGTCAGGTTGGGCTGTAGATGTGTCTGGGGGGAGGGTCCTTTTGACTGTTCTGGAATGCCTATCCCACCGTGGGTGACACCACTCCGTAGGCATATGGTTCTGGACTATATGAGAATCTAGATAAGCATGAGCCTATGAGGAGTCAGCAAGCAGCCTTCTTCAGTGGTTTCTGTTTCAAGGTCTTGCTTGAGTTCCTGCCCTGACATCCTTCAACAATGGACTATGACTTAGGTATGTAGGCCAAACAAGCAGAGAGTCACCTTTCCTTCCTTAAGTCACATTTAGTCATGATGTTGCCACAGCAACAAAATGAAACTAGATCACGCATCATTACTTCTGTCCAGTCAACAGAAAGGCAGCCTTAAGAATCAATGTGCTGTGCTGTCCCTTGGCTTTTTTTTTCTTTCTTCTTCTTTTTTTTTCTGTCATAAACTGTGGTACTCATCAAACGATTGACTTTTCATTCTGTAGTTTACACTTGTGATTCAACATAATAGCTCACCACTGTCTTGCCTTTTCAAGTGATTTGTGTGTTCAGAAGAAGTGTGTACATGTAAGAATATATGTACACAAGTGTGGAGTGTGAACTCATGTGGAGGACAGTTTAACATCTGCCTTCCTCTGTAGGTCTCTGTTTTCTTCTCTGTGAGACAGGAGTTCTCACTGAACCCAGAGCTCATAGAATTGGCCAGATATTGGCTGGCCCATGAGCTATATGGATCTGCTTGTCTCCAGTCTGGAGTTGCAAGTAAACACTGCCGTGCCTGACTATTTTATGTGATGTTGGGAATCTGAACTCAGTTCTTTATGCTTGCATAGCAAACACTTTCCCACTGGCTCATCTCCCCAAATCCCTTAAGGCTTTTTTTCTCAGTTTCTACTAATAATTTTATCAATCTGCCATTGATAGAAATGAGTACACAACAGGTCTCTAACCACCACCACCAACAACAACAAATAGGCTGAGATCTGGGTGAGGTGATGCTTGAAACTTCCACAAAGGAGGAAAGAAAGTCCCCAAATGCTTCCTCCTTCTGCCATCCCTGGTGCTGCCTGTGTGCTCCTTCCGTGTGGATCTGGGGCCTCTTTTGTGAAGAGGAAGTTGAGGAGACTTCCAGCTCAAGGAAGGACTCAGAAAGGGCACAAGACTGAGAACAATGATCATTTGAAGGTGATGGGGCAGGATGGTTCTGAGGTGCAATTTAAGACTAAAAGGCAGGCAACACTTAGTAAACTCATGAAAACTTATTGTGAATGACAGGGTTTGTCAATGAGGCTGATCAGATACCGGTTTGATTCAGTCAATGAAACTGACACACCTGCACAGTCAGACATGGAGGATGAAGATATGATAGGTGTGTTCCAGAAGCAGACAGGAGGTGTCTACTGAAAAGGGAACCTGCTAATTTCATTCAGAATTTTGTTATAGACCAAGAGTACATTCTCAATTAGAAAGCCGCCATTTGTCCCGCCACATCCTGACTACTACGGTATAATTTTCTCTCCTCTTTTCATTTCTCTGTCCCCATGTCTTTATTGTTCATAAAACAACAGGAGTGTGCACGCAAGAGTATGTGCACAAGCATATTGCTCTTGTCGTTTTCTGTCTCTTTTTAAAACTGAACATCCAGTGTTCTGTTTCGGTTGACATCAGACAGAGATGGTCTGGGGGAACAGACTGGTTCTGTGAAAATACCCACCTTTCCCCGTTAGTAGCACACTCATTCAGTTCTTATCTGATATTCCAGTGAGTTATTTTATTCTTATTGTTTTAACAAAAGAACATAACCCAACAGCATAAAATCCTTGCATACCTTGTTCTATTAGATAACTTTAACGTTTTTCATTTATCATTGTAAAACCAAGCACAATTTTATAACTTTTTTTGGTATGTAGATGTTACATGTAGGACACTCTGCCTTTAAGAAGGGATGAATTCCTCTTGAATAAAATGCTCCTAGATAGTTTTCCCTTCAAGTCAAGTATCTCGTTGCTTAAATAAACTTTTTATTTAAAATGAAAAAAAATCCCAAACAAAAAAATTAGAGACACTAATGTTAAAAGAAGAAAAAAAAAGATACACAGACTGCCCCCTCCCCACCCCAAATTCTCACAACACTAGATGAGTAGCCCAGCACTCTAGGAGCTGAGGCAGGAGACTCACTCCAGATTCCAAGGCAGAACCAAAACATACCCTCTCAAATAAAACAAAACCCCGTTAGCTCCAGCATTTCTGAGGTACAGGCAGAGGGATTAAACAACTTGAGCATATCATGAACTATGGTGACCAAGTCGTGGTGTGATGGTTTGTATATGCTTAGCCCAGGGAGTGACACTATTAGGAGGTGTGGCCTTGTTGGTATAGGTGTGTCACTGTGGGTGTGGGCTTAAGACCCTCACCCTAGCTGACTGAAAGCCAGTCTTCCACTAGCAGCCTTCAGATAAAGATGTAAAACTCCTAGCTTCTCCTGCACCATGCCTGCCTAAATGCTGCCATGTTCTTGCCTCGATGATAATGGACTGAACCTTTGAACCTGTAAGCCAGCCCCAATTAAATGTTGTTTTTATAAGAGTTTCCTTGGTCATGATGTCTGTTCACAACAGTAAAACTGTAACTATGACACCTGGGCTGCTTAAGACCTCTCAGAAAAGAGAAGAAGGAAAAGCACAATCTTCTACCTACAGATGAGGGAGTCAGATGTGGTCCACAGGGTCTGCCTCCTCATCTCCAGTTTATAACCAGACATCCAAGTAGACAGAGTCTCTGTAAGTCTTCCAGAGCTCGGGAGATGAGAAATCAGAGCTTATGCCACAGGAAGGGCTGCGGCTACAGGTCTCACACTCAGCCTGGCCCTCTGGGGCTGCAGCAGAAGCAGCTGTGCTTTCTGGCCTGCAAGGACCAGGCTACTGGGGAGTTCATGGCTCTCCAGCCTTGCCTCTGGTGGTCTGGGTGGAGGTGAGGACTGAGGTAGGATGCCAGCTGAGCCCTTGAGTAGCCTGTAGCCTTCAGGCCTGAGTTTCTGCCCTTGGCCACAGGCATGAGCGGGCAGGTCAGCTTGCTCCTCCTTCAGGTTTGAGGACCATGACCACGACAGACTACCAACCTCCTGGGGGAAAGCTCCAGGACAGCTTGCAGCTGGACTAATCACGGGAGACCATGATTCCGGAGTGCAGGGAATCCAGACAATCTCCCATCTGATTGCCGAGTTCAGGAGTTTCCCCACAGGTGATCCTTAGAGACATTTGTATAGAACTAATCCAGGACTCGTAATTTGTTAGACCATATTCCGGAAACTGGCTCATGCTCGGTACCTTTTTCCTGGACCTGTCATGTTACTTTCTCAAGAACTGAAAACTGGTATTGTTTCCAGAATGCTGTATGATTCTCAAATTGTACATTAATACCAAAAATACATTACTTGAGAGAGAACCACACTACAGCAGAGTCTTAAAAGCTAGAGTGCGCTCTTGGGAGAGGTGGACCTTTGACCTAAATTTGAACATCTGTGGTAAATCCCTTCCAGTCCCTGGCCATGGCCTTACTCTTAATTACTTTTATGACATCTGCACAGGGATGACCCTGAGGACCTAAGCCAGCTGCTGAGAGTGCTCACACACACACACACACACACACACACACACACACACATACACACACACACACACGATTGCCACTACACTGCAGAGTTGGAGAGACAATGAGCAGAGCAATCTAGTCTGTGAACCCATGCTAAAAATGCTCACACTCCAGGTACATGGAGTTCTGCGTCATTGCGGTTTCTTCATGTGGTTTGATTTCCCCCCACTCCTTGGTAATGAAAACTAAGGCCTCCCACTCGCCCTACCACTGACTTATATACCTATGGCCCCAATCTTGAGTTTAAGGAATGTCAAAGTAAAGGGGGGCGGTGGTGGCGCACGTCTTTAATCCCAGCACTTGGGAGGCAGAAGCAGGTGGATTTCTGAGTTCGAGGCCAGCCTGGTCTACAGAGTGAGTTCCAGGACAGCCAGGGCTATGCAGAGAAGCCCTGTCTCGAAAAACCAAAAAGAAAGAGAGAGAGAGAGAGAGAGAGAGAGAGAGAGAGAGAGAGAGAGAGAAATGTCAAAGTAAACCTCAGAAAAATTAAGAAATAGCTGCTATAGTAGGAAACACAAGCTTTCAAAATCCAGCTGCACTTGTTTGTGAACGATGCTGTCTAGGGGAAAGGGCACTCACTGGAGGTCAGCTTTGAACTTGGGTATTCTTTGGTTCAAATGCAGCTTCTCTCAGGTGTATACAAATGTGGAAGGGCAGGTCTTTGCTAGGCTGATCACTCCTGTAGAGTCCCTGGGCCTACCACATATCCCTGAAGAAAGGGACTGGGAGATAGAATTGCAGTGTAATGTCACCTCAAGAGACATGATGATGGGCTGGAGAGATGGCTCAGTGGTTAGAGTACCGACTGTTCTTCCAGAGGTCCTGAGTTCAAGTCCCAGGAACCACATGGTGGCTCTCAACCATCTATAATGGGATCAGATGCCCTCTTCTGGTGCGTCTCACAGCTACATTGTACTTATATAAATGAAATAAATAAATATTTAAAAAAGAGACATGATCACATCATGATGATGATGACAGTAGGATTGTTCTGTTAACTGTTATGCACTGTTGACGTAAGCTGATACCTCGGGCATTCTTCTTCATGGTTGCTTGAGAAGAGAGAATGTGTGCTGTCCCCGTCTTTATGCCTGAAGCCCCCTTTTCTCTGTAGGATCGAAGTGCCTGACTTTGCTGGTTGAAATCCACCCTGTCAACAATGTGCAGGTTCTGAAAGCAGTGGATAGCTGTATTTGGGTACAGGTAAGTAAGCCCACTGTCTGGCTTGACTCATTAATCCCGAGGCGTGACACCAAGGCAGAAAGGTGCCTGTTTACACAGCACTTTCCCACGCATTATCACCTTTAATCTGCTAAGCAGTCTTCCAGATGTGAAGGCTGGAAGCACCAGGCTCCCTCTGTTAACATGGAGGTAAGAATTCTGGCCTGGCTGCCCTGACCCTGCTATACCCGGTAGCAAAGCAATGTTTTACATGATAACATACCAGGTATTAAAATCACTTGGTGGTAAGCTTTAAAATAGTCTATTTCCCATATTCACCTGGTTGACAGACTAGTTATCTCTGATTAACGGCAGTAAATTCCTGACCTTAGTGACACTGCATTGCTGCAGAAGCATGCAGAAGGTCATGTGGTGGATGAGTCCGTTTTTTATTTGAAGATCCTACACTTGTGCATTCTTGTGCTTGTGAAGATTTATTTGCAGTTTGAAATCTACACTTGGGACACTTTGCCAGGCATTTGCTGAGCAGGTGAGTCGTCTGTTTGCACATCCCCAAGGAAGGAAGGTTGAACCAGGCAATGTTCTGCCTCATGCTCTCACCATAGACGATTGGCATTCACTGCCTAGTGCCGTGACTTTTCATTTTTGTGCTTTTCCTTGTGATGCTTTCGATGACTTCCTGGCGTCATGCTGAACTGTTGTCTAGTGGTCCTAAGAGCACAAAGACTGCGATATATTAAGCTCAGTGTTAATAAATCAGTAAGATGTGTGACACAAGCCCTATTTCAATGGAAATGCACACAAGGGAAGATTATGTATTCCTCTGTTGGCAAGAGTGTGAACAGAGGTTGGTGGCCTGTGATCAAGTTTAGTATTCAACATGCAGGGTCTCTCAAGGTCACCACAGATAGTCAGGATTGATTGAACACAGACATGCAAGAGCATAGTTTCCCTGAGCCTCACTTTACATTCCTATCCTTTGGTCCACATGGAGTCAGTCAACTAGTCTTGCCTGTGGTGCCTGCTTTAGCTTCAGCTCAAAGCCAGTGTGGCTGCCTCTTTTCTGTGTTAAGGGGGGCTTGGTTTCCTCTCCCCTCTCTTCCCCTCCCCTCCCCTCCTCTGCTCTCTTCTCCTCTCCTCCCATCAGGGCCCCTCCCCTCTCCTTCCCTCCCTTCTCCTCCCCTCCCCTCCTCTCCTTTCTTCTCCTCTCCTCCCATCAGGCCCCCTCCCCTCTCCTTCCCTCCCCTCCCCTCCCCTCCCCTCCCCTCCTCTCTTCTCCTCTCCTCCCATCAGGCCCCCTCCCCTCCTCCTCCCCCTGTCTCTTCTCCC